ACTAAGAAATTATAACTATTTGTTTGTTTATTATTTTAATTTCGTGTCAAAAAGAATATATACCTTGTCAACAACAAATAATAATTTACTAAATGAATGAATATTTTTTTAACAAAAAATTGATTTGTGTTTTTGCCAACAAAAAAACATTTTACTAGTAAAATATATGTTTCAAATCATATAATAACTAGCATTTAGTATTCAAAACATTATAAATATTTATTTTTTGTATTAAAATTTCTTCGTAAAAACACAATATCAAATTTTTAATGACATTTTAAAAATATTCAATTTATGCAATTTTATATTTTAAATCTTTCATCAATTACCTTATAATTTAAAGAGAAGTTTCATAATGTTACATACCTTCTTATGCAAAAGTTGACAGGAAGTATGGTCTTCCACGTATTTTGACATGGAAACATAAAAAATGTTTCTAATTCCAAAAATAACATGTACAAATGAAAATTTTTTTTTCAAAACAAGGTAAAACTAAAACAAATAGTGAAATCCCAAAAATACAACTATTAACAAATGTGCACAACTCAAAAACTGGGCAAAACTATGTACTAAATAACGGCTCACATGTTTTAATTATGTGGCAGATGACGGCGCACATGTGTTAAATACTTGTCTTTTGTTGTATTTTGGTATGATGATATCAAGTGTCAAAATTAGCTTTTAACTGCAAGAATAATTAAGTTGTTGGGTTTTATCAAAAGAAAAATATAAGTTTAACTGCAAGAATAAGTTATTGGGTCATATTATGTACTTGTTTGATCTTATGCAAGAATATGAGTTTATTGTCTTAGGTAGTAGAGTAAAGAAATTTAAAAACAATTATCAAAACTTTCTTAAATATATTTGCTCAAAATTGTTTTATGTGACAAATATTTTAAATTTTAGATTTTGAATATTCTTGTGAATGCATCTATATCCAGACATAAATATGAATAGAATACAACATGTATCGTTTTGGAGGTGCAAAACAAAAATCGTGGTGTGCAAAAAAAAAATCGTGGTGTCATACAATTTTTTTTGTACCGTCATTATATTGTGAGGAAATACATTTTGATTTTAATTTATGTTCAAAATTAGCTTTAACACACTTCTTAATAATGAAGTAAATGAATAATTTAAAATATTTTAAGTTTTCAAATATGATGTATTGATATTTTTTTAATCTATCACTATCTCTTACCAATATTTATATTGCCTCTAAACCCTAAGTGACTTCTCATCCATCAAAATTCAAAATCAACTTAATGTTTGATGACGCGAATCAAATCATTACAAGAGAGGGAGAAGATTCTCGGAAATATTTTGAATCAAAAACATATTGACACTGTAGCTTTAGACTCGGAGGTAAAAGTGCTACTGTGGGCTATGCAGTGAGATTTCGCA